AAGAAAATGGTAAATATTTTAAACAGTAGTATTTTTGTAATTCGTTTAATATCCGAAAATCTTCTAAAGTCATAAAGCCATAAAATGACTGACATGTCCTTCGTTATCTTTGCTTTTATTATATTTTTTTTATTATTGTTTTTACTGTTTTTTTTTTTTTTTGTACTCCTACAGAATGAATGATTTTCCCGAGATAATCTGGTGATGGAAAATTTAAAGAACTTATTTTGAAAATGATCAAAAAATAACTTGAGCGTACCGTAGCGTTGCTCGAACCTTAGATTAATCTGAAGGAAAAAAGGGTTCAAAGATAATGAGTGCGAGTTAATTATACTTAGGTGAGAAAATCTTGTGGTATAACTATTAGGTGAATGCTTTTCATTGAACAAAAGGCGCATTAATTAAAAACGACGTTTCAGAAATCCGAGCTTGCGGTCATGCGTCATGTAAATTTCGCTTTCTCTTGTGACATTCGCTTTGCCTAAAAGAAAGGATGAATATCGAGGTACATGGTGTAATATTTAACCCTAATAGTACCACCGCTCACTTTGAGCCACTATTGTTGAGCCGTTATTATCGCAAATTTGTTTCATATTATATTTTGCAAAATATATGTAGCCTGCATATAATATCCTTTTTATCTATGCATACATAATATAATAAAAACGGTAAAGTTTTTGAACATTTGCAGTATTCTCATAGCTGACTGAGAGTCACAACGTGGTATGCTTCGTTATAAAAACGTGGTAAGATCAGGAAAATTATATTCAGCCATGGCTGCACCGCCAAATTTATCTTTAAAAAAGAAAGAAACTCTAAATATTGATATGAGTCGTTATGGCTCATTTTCTCCGTCTTGGCAACGTACGTAGAATACACGTAAAAATTTGTATCATTGTATCCTTTGTGAGTAAAAAAATGCAATGTTTTAGTCTTCAAAATCGGAGCAGTCCTCAGCTTATATTGTATGGCGGGCTTATCGTTTGATCGATTTGGCTCAAGAGCTTCTAAGGTTGCTCCCAAATTTGAAGTCAATATTTAAAGTTTGGATATTAAGTATGTTTATCAAACGCCGCATCACAAATAGATATATTGACGGGCGAGCATATCCTAATCGAGCCATTATTTGATACCGCATGCATACTCCCAAGGTGTTCTGAGGTTCTAACCAGGTCTTGCCAACATTTTTACAAAATGAATATGTGCACAACATTTTGTAGCAGATATCGAAAAGTTTGTGGACCATTCAAATATGAGAAGACATCGGCATTGCATTGGGATAGATTTTCGAATCAGTCAGACGTGAAGAGCTTTAACGTGTGGGAATGTTTACGAACCACGATTCTACGGGCTGTTGGACTGTATTGCTACACTTACCTCATAAGTTAAATAGTTTAAAACACACTTTAGAGTACTATGGTAAGAAGGATGTGTATAGTGCTCCTCCTTCCGTTCACTTAAAATTTGAAAAGTTTCAACTTTTATAATGAAGCGCTATATAAATTTGCAGCTCGGTCTTCGTGAAATTATGAAATGGAGACATTTGAAGGCTTTAAGAGCGAGAGTGTTTTTAGAATGTCTTTTGGATGGGAACTCTTTTCGCAAGGCGTCTTTAATTAAAGATGTTCAGCGGCGTCTACAGTAACTGAGGTAAATATGAATCTAGAGACACATAGCGACTGATTTTTGTGTGATTGACAACTAATGTTGAAATCTTGTGCATTTCTCTTTAACATGGTCTTCTAAGAATAGCTTCAATATCTAAGAATGTCTTCAACTAAAAAAAGGAAATTTGCTGGAATCATGCTGCATGCCGTTGTGCAAAATCGCGTTTTGAGAGAGACGAGCCTTAAAGTTTGTCAATATGTTAGAGAAAGATTTCCGCGAATGTGTAGAACACCAAAAAGACTTGGAGTGGAGCTGCCTTTTGTACGAAGCTTTTCTGCCTGTCCGTGTGATGTCTGCTTACGTCTTCTTGTATTCAACCTACATGTCGCAATATTTGAGCTATTTTGATGAAATTTGGTTCATTGATATGGTTTAGACAAACGACGAATGTTATTGAAAATGTTTCGGAACGGACCGTTTTTTCGAGCACTTCGCACATACCGGCTAATTTGGAAAAGCTGCTATGTGAATAACTGCGTTAAGCGATGTGGTGTAGGGTTTGAATTTATTACAATAAATTTTAGTCATTACTCTGCTATCAAAGAGAGCATGAAAATTTTCTTCTCTGTTTAAATGTTATGTTTCATTGTTCTTTCTCCAGCATATCATGCTCGAATGTGGCTTTTTTTGCATCCGTCAAAGTCAGAGGCACGCATTTTACGCTTAACATGAGAGAAAATTTGCAAGAAAATATATGATTCAGTGCTTGTTCCTTTTAATTTCTTGACAGAAGCTCTGATAATTTTAGAATTTTTGTAAGTCTTATTAGCCGCGCAACGGTAATCTCAACAAAGCTACGCTAGAAATCAACAGACAAGATATTAAGCTGTAACTTCCTAGCAGAACTTCCACGGGACATCGGACTTGACACGGGAAATCTTTTACGAATGCTTGAGGAAGAGCTCAAAATTTCTTTCAAGCAATGTATTTTTAAAAGAATTAAAACCAGTCGTTAAGTCAATGAAAAAAAAATTTTTTTTTTTTACTAAAAAATTTGCAATGGTTTCCCTCCTTAAAGGAATAATTCTGTAAAGACAAGCTGGTCAGTGCTCAAATTCGAATCCAAGAGAAGGCTTTCTTGCTTGTCTTTATAGACAGACTCAAGTTCTCAGGCCGTACGCAGGCTTTAGACCGAAAATTCTCTCCTTTTAATTACTTATCCACCATATCTTTTTTTCATCATTTCCGAATATATGTATATACAGTTTATTAAAACTCAATTATATTAAAATAAGTTTTCGTTTGACAATTTAACTTTTATATATCCCGGGGCCAATAAAAGCAAAACAATTAACATTTAAATGGAAATTTAAAAAAAAACACAAAACAAGCAAAAAAAATTGAAAATTGTACGGCAATTGAGATTAAAACTATGTATGTGTATGCGCATAAGAACATCACTAATATGATTTAATGTTTGCAAAACAACGAAAACAATAATAATGAAATTGGAGTTATAATCGCCATAACCCTCACAACGATCAACTAACAAAAAAAAAAAAAAAAAAAAAAAAAACAAAATAATATCTATTAAAATTGCAAGCAAACAATTTACAAAAAAAAACGAAAATCGCTTAAAGCGCTTATGAAACAACAACAACCAACGCATACAAGAATTGCCATAAAAAAAAGCGAAAATGAAACATTAAATGCTTACGACAAAGCAAAAGCAAAACATAAAAAAAAAAGCGACTTTACGTACTTTTATCCTTTCAAGCCTCCAACTATCATAAATATTACCACCAGCGCCGCCACCACCACTAACATGCCGTTTATTATGGTATAATAATGACGATGTTGATGATGATGGTATCCGGGATCGCCAGGATAGCCAACAACCCCATCGAAATGATGGCAAACGTCAGCAAAAGTGGCAACAACAGCAGCCGTCGCCGTCAACCAGCAGTCTTGAACAGTTTCCGCTTAAGCTGCTGTCAATGCTGTTGCTGTTGCTGTTGTTTTTGGTGTGGCTTCTGCTCCTGACAAAGTTGACGATGATGGGGATGACTGTAGATGCCTCCGTGTAAATCTACCAATACAGAAGACTAAATCATTATCACCACCATCACCGCCACCACAGCCACCATTGGCATCACCACCACCATCGTCATTATTATCATCATTGTCATTATCATTATCACTGCCACCACTAACTTCAGTCATTTTTACACTTGTTTTGTTACCAGGCAATATGACGTATGACATACAACAATACGACAAACAACCAATCCAATCACTTAAACGGTTAGGTGGGCGTGTTTTAAAACTACCAGCGACCATTTCTACTCTATATTATACGATAATTTTAAAGGCATGCAAAAAACACAACACAAAAAATAGAATAAAATAAAATAAAATAAAATAAATGAAACCAGTTCACATCATCATATGCTTCTCTACGCCAGGCAACAAAGTTAGTAGTGGTCACAGGCGAAACCAACTCGCAGCGCACAGTGAGCATAACAGTTAGCAGCAGGGAGTAAGAATAGTAGTACTAGTAGTAGTAGTAGTAGTAGTAGTAGTAGCAGTAAGTCGTCCGTCCCACTTACGCATACATTCACATTAAGCAAAGATAAGGTTAGCCCAAGAGTATTTAAAGCACTCGTGTACATTTAACGGGCATTGCCAAGAGAGTAAATGAATTGTTAGAGAAATTGCGCGGTAACGTTTCAATAAACTTGATTTTCAGAATTTCAGTTTGAATTTGTGAGAATAAAATTTCCTTGTTCTCTAGACCACCGAGTGCCTTTTGAATTTGCGGAGAATGGAATTCTATTTCTCAGAGTAAAATTTACTTTGCCGTGCATTTCTTATGAAGACTACCTATAACCTTGAGTGGCTTTTTGAATTTGTGAGAGTAAAATTTTCTTGTTCTCTCGAGAACCACGAGTGGCTTTTTGAATTTGCTGAGAGTAAAACAAAAAAATATATTGAAAATGATTAGATATATATTCAGGCAATAGTCTCTCTCTCTTTCTCAGACGCGAGCACAACGAAATAAGTTGGGTAAAGAGGTAAAAATAAACGAAACTACGAAACTTCCTGATTGGTCCTGATGTGTTCAGAAACAATTTTTCATTCAAATTTTTCATTTCAAATGTGAAGGAATATTGTTGCGATCATTTTCATTACGAGCGTCATAAAGAAACATTAATAGAGTGAACGTCTATAGAGTGATATATAGTGAAACGGTATTACGTTGATGAACAGATGATTGCATATGTGCATACGTGCATATACATATAAATATATATTTATATAAATATATTTAAAGAAATATTTAATAAATTAAATAATTTAAAAATAAAAAATTAAATTAACGTAAAAATATTTTTAAACCAAATCCTAATAAAACCAAAAAGTAAAAAAGACTTAAACAAAAAAAAAAAAAAAGAAGAAAATATGTCTTCAACATCAGCTTCACCTGTCAGCAATATAACAGTGGACGACGATCGAGGTAGGTATAGCGTTTACTCCGTTAACGACGGTAAAAAATTCTTCTTCTCTGAATTCTTTCGTTGTCATATCAATCAAGAATTATTTTCAAAGTGCCCGTTCTTCTCTTATAAAATTTTGCAAAAATCTAGACTACTCTACGGATTTCATAAATATTAAAGAAGAACGTGAAAGCAGTATATCTCCGATGTTAACTCCGCCGCATACGCCGACGGATAATTCTGTGGGACTTAGAAGTAGCAGTAATAGTCGTAAAGGCTCGAATTCTTCTCTTTATGATTTAGATCATAGGCGTTGCCCAACAACGGTAGCAACAGCATTATCAACAACCCCAGTACTGTCACAGAATCATATTCAAACGCGTTCTTACGCCACTATGATGCAAACGCATACGTTACCTCAGCCACAACATCATCATGCCCATCATTTGCAACATTCCCATCATAACTTGCAACACCATCAACTTCAACAACAGCAACAACAATCAGCTGTACCTCAGCAAACGCAACAATCCCAACAACGCGTTGCGTGGCTACAAATGCATCATCATTCACCGCATCAACAGCCAGGTCTTCCTTATGCCGCAGTTATTAATGGTCATCATCAATTCCTTGCGACGCCTGACCCTTTGGCGGCTCAACATCAAGCTTTACTCATGAATCAATGGTTAAGAAATGCCGCTCTTTACCAGCATCAACATCAACATCAACATCAACACCATCACCACCATCATCCGCATCATGCGGCAATTTTGCATGGTGTACGGCCTCATTCGTCCGCCTTGCATGGTCTGCATCCAGCACGTCTAGGCTTGCCTGCCATGAAATTAGCCGCTGGCCTTAGCGGTGCAAATCTTCCCGCCGCTGGCTCAAGACCCAAAAAGCAATTTATTTGTAAATATTGTAACCGTCACTTTACCAAATCTTATAATTTATTGATACACGAACGCACGCACACGGATGAGCGGCCTTATTCTTGTGATATCTGCGGTAAAGCGTTCCGCCGGCAAGATCATTTGCGTGATCATCGCTATATACACTCTAAGGAGAAACCTTTCAAGTGCGGCGATTGCGGTAAAGGCTTCTGCCAATCGCGCACTTTAGCGGTGCATAAGATCACGCATTTGGAAGAAGGTCCTCACAAGTGTCCCATTTGTCATCGTTCCTTTAATCAACGTGCCAACTTGAAGGCTCACCTGCAATCACATTCCGAGGGTCAATTAGTTCACACCTCAGCGGTGGACAGTGAATCTTCACATCTATCAAAACAAAATATCGGCTTAATACCCAGAGAGCATTCCACCGCTGCCGTAGTAAGTCCTCATTCTATGCCCGTTTTGGATTTATCAGCTTCGAGTGTACCGCATGCGGTTAAACCGAAACGTAGTCTGGGTTTCACAATAGACGAAATAATGAGCCGTTAAAATCGTCTGGCTATCGAGAGTCATAACCTTTAAAGTTCTTTCGCTAAATACAAAAATTTCCTTATGCCACCCTATACTGAGACTGATTGTTTTGTTAGCTGAGGGCTGTTAACGAACAAGCGAACAAGAAAGCGAAGCGCACGCGGAAGGAAGCAGCACGGAAGTTTGCTACCAAAACAAATGACGGTATGTATTGCTGATTCTCCACCACACCGCTCTCCCCCCCTACCCTTTCCGGCCCCGCTTCCATTGCTTAGATGTCGACGAGCACTTACTTGAAGGTTAAACAACTCTACTAAGTAGTGTTTACTAAAGTGCTTCGGTGGCAACAAAATATGGAGTTCTTCTATGATGTACGTTCGCTTCAGCTACTTATACACTTTGTTATCATTATTTATTGTCATATAATTTACACAAGAGAAAAAAAAAAAACACGAAAAGAAAAGAAAAGAAAAGAAGGAAGAAAAACTAAAAATATGTTGAAAATTATACCAAAGCACTTAATACCTTGCATACGTACGGTTAGATATCTATATATAGAGTTATTTAAATTATTTAAAATCTTTTTTTTTTTTTTTTGAATATTTCTTTAATTCTTGTAAAATAGTAGGTAATTAAATGTTTAGCAATAAATCCATGCCTGGTAATCTTAAAAAAACGGTTCAAACACTATCTAATTCTATTACTCAGTTGTTTTATTTTTTCTTTTATTTTTGTTTAAACATATCGATGCAAATATTTGAAAACGTATCCACATAAACTTGCTGTAATTGCAATGCAATGATCTCAATGTTAGTTATAGTAAAATCAATTAAATAATAAATCAAAGAAATATATGTTAAAAATATAGCTTAATGTGTTTTGCCTAAGTAAAGCATTTTGCTTCTTTTTTTTTTTCATTAGGTTGGACAGCAAGTAACCAATGTATGTATGTATGACGATTTTTTTATTTTTTAAACTGAGAGGAATAAGAAAAACGGGTTTGTGAATATCACGCCTTTAAGGGTCTTGTCTTTTTGTTGCGAATTGTGCGAACCGAAGCTCTGCTTACAATGTGCGTCACTCATCGATGCAAACAAGTGGCGATCAGAAAGTGTCAGTCTTGCCGTATACACGAACAGATGGATGGATAGATGGATGGATATTTAGTGTAAAAGTATGCCCTTGTCTTCCTTGATATTTTGGAAAGTTTTTACTCGTGCGCTGTTCAAATCGATTAATTGCTGTTTGTTTGTAACGCTTGGTATTAAACTATCGAACCAAACGCAGCTTTGCTGTTCTTTCTTCCCACTATTGTGAATGGTATATTAGAATCTATTTCTGAATTTTTGGGCCTGGGATTCTAAACATAAATCCCCAGTAAAGGTGCGAATATCGTTCAGGCATGGAAATGCTCTTTGTTTTGAAACCAAACCCGATTTTGTTCGTTATTAGAAAAACATTTTTATGTTGTGACATTTATTGGCCTTGCAATTAGTTATTTTCTCCAGATGTTCAACCTATAAAAATACACAACTCCAGGTATGTATGCATTCGGGCCGTTGTGTTGACCATCTGTTCCATATTTTGGCGACCTGACCATAATAATGATGACGTAGTTCAAATTTTACGCAAGTTCACACTTCAGCAGTTTGGCGTATAAAATTGCAAGACATGGCAATCGGATGAGCGTCATCTTAAATATGATTTGACTTAGTCTTTTTAGCTCAAAGAGTTGCTCTACTTAAGGTCAATAGCGCATAAGTCGCTAGTCATTTAGATATAGCATGCTAGAGGCTGTTTTCCCAAAACTACACCGGGTTGTGGATGTGCTTGTAGTATCCATATTTTTTGCTCTACGCAATTTCATTGCGCTTAGGTTAATTAAGCTTGAATGGAAATGTTGATCCTCAAAACAAATCTTTTTATCGAAAAATAGCAAAAGAGGGGAAAAAGAAACGATAATTATTGGGAATTGTGAAGAACCGCAATTTTGGACTGTTCAAACAAAACCATTTCCCGAACAAGCTTTAAAGCCATAGGAAAAGTCTCTTGGGTGCCGTGTGTTGACTGGACAACTTGGTAAAAGGAATTGGAGATGAAAAATTTTAAACATTGCATCGTCGACTAAAACTAAAACCAGAGTTATTTCAAAATTGAATTTTGAAACGTTTATCTTGGCTAAAGCTTATGATCTTTTCGTACCAATGATGCGGTAACTAGTCTTGAAATGATAAGTACATCTTTAAGGCGAGCTTTCTCTTTAACGATGTTATCGACAAATGAAAACTTGTCGAGTTGACGATCAATTATTGAATGCTTTTTCAAAAAAAAAGAAAACATACTTAATCCTACGGCGGTCTCCTTTTCTTAAATCAATTTTACAATAAAGCATTCCCTGCTGCTTATTAGATTTTGTGCTCTATTACTATAAGGCAAGTCAAGCGGTCAAGTATGAGTCTCGACCAGTCCATTGTAGCATTGTAGCGTACTTCATTCAGATAAATCTGGTCGTAACAATTTTTTTTAAATTTGTTTTGTGTGAGATATGTGTATATTTGTGCTTCTTTCATGGCACTGAGCAACGTGCATTTAGGTATCACATTTGCATAGGTATCGTATGCACTTAGCTTTTCCTTCGTATGGTATAATAATTAGCTATAAGACTGCACATGATGTGTAGCATCAGCATATATGCCTGTTTCCCCAAATTCTTTTTTAAACCGATGGTATTGCATCTCATAAGTAATTTTCAATTAAGTTATATTTTGGTCTATATGCAGCTAAATATTAAGACTGTAGCGGAATTTAACTAAATAAATAATCCATCGGGCAAGTCGTTGGAAAGTTTCGTATGCAAATGCCAAAATGTAGATAAAGTTTCTATAAATCCGTATAACATGAAGGCTGGGACAGCGTCGTAAAAATGAGAAGAAGAGGGGAAATAGCTGGATCAGCGTACATGAACTATTAGAAAATTCTAGCAAGCCAGGAGATTAACTTGTTTCTTCTAGAATCATGGACATTAGATGTCAATACAATAAACAGATTGGAAGCCTTTGAACACTTAATATTAGAGGGCCGTATGGAAGGGCCTGTGCCTCTCAGCAGAGAACAAATGTCGTGGCTACGTAATAATATTCAAAACTAGACAGGGCTGAGAACCATAAGTGAAATCATATACACAACAAGCAGCTGGAAAGATTTTTGGGCTTTAATTAAAGATTTAACTCAGTACACAACAACATCATAACACGCATATGATCACTTATATCGAGTGATGCATTGGTAATAAAAGAAGAAGAAATAGATAAAATTGTTTTTGGACCATGAACGTTTTTCTACTGGGCACGTGCTATGCTTGCGCAAGTCTCTGATGATTTTTACAAAATTTTGAGGCCGGATCTTAATTTTTGAGACGAAAATTTGTCTTGGAATATTTATCACACCTATGCATATAGACGGAATGACGAACCGATGCAGTTTAGTCGTTGATGGGTATTAAATACAAAAAAAAAAAATTCTAAAGCTATTTCAAAGGCAAATTTCTTGGCTAAGTTACAGAAATAGCACAAAATCATTATCAAAATCATTGGGATAAATAACTTGTCCGTCTTTTATTACACATGCAATATTTCGCATAACAAATGATAGGAATTTTGATCCTCGCAAATTTTTTGAACATCGCCAGGAGAACGTCTGTCAACTACCTTAACAGTCATGTATACAAAGTGTGCGACAATGCATTGTTCTTACGATAAGAACACCATACAGAAAGCATATATATATATAAAGAGATTGGAAAGGCTTTGTGAATTCTTCTAAATCAATTCTCTTCAATTTCGATGACAGCTGATTATGCTAACCTCTATCTATCTAGTTTTCAATTAACAACCAAAATTCATATTTATAATGCCTTCCACAAGCCTGGGCTCTTCAGTTAGAACGAGTCATTTACATTAACCGATGCATTCCTGAAGTATTACGCAAGGCTTTCAATTTTAAGTTGCATAGGGGAACTGGTATAAGCTTAACCCTAAGCGATAGTTTTTCCTACAATCCAATATCAATGACTATAGCGCATAGTACTCCTAATGCTGGAATTTTTTGTTCTTTTGATTTTTTTCATAAACAAGTAAAAACTGTATTACATTGCAAACCTGAGTTAATAAAAATTTTTATTGACATTTCATTTTTGTCGTTAGCACGCCAAACACATTAAAAGGGGAATAATTTTGTTGGTTTTTTTTTGTGCATATGAATAATCAAACTCGCCATTTGCAGTGTTATCACTAATGCCTGCTACCAGCACAACCATTATTACTTGCATTGCTACCATTGGTGTCATTACTGTTGGCACAATAGCTCGCTTTCAGAGAATCGATACGACACTAACACTGAATTAAAAGGAGTTGAAGTACACGCTATGACACATTAGAGGTTTATTAGAAGAAACTACAAAAAGAATACGCATGACGTCTACTGTGTTCTTTAGAAATCTCTCTAAAATACCTTTGGCCCGGTGGCTGCTTTCTTATGCTGCTTTTATTATGTGTGTGGCTTAAAAGCTCCGCAAACTATTCAAAAGTGATACAAAACGCCCACTATGAAAGAAGAAAAATTTTAAATGATTGAAAAAATTGGATAGTCCGACCGCAGTCGTAAAGCCTAATTATAGAAATTTTTCGTGCGTTGGATGAAATTTTTTTAGGTTTCACGACAATTGCTTTTTCGTACATTGTATACAAAAATAAATCTATAAAAATAGTTCAAGCAAAAACAGGGACACAAACATAATTTTAGCCTTAAAATGGATTGTGCATGTAAATGTCACAAAGCATCTAAAGATTCCGAGAAGCAATTGGTAACTTTACTGCTGAACGGTTCTTCTTGCTGCTCGAAAGAGGTTTAGAAATGTGATTCTTGGCTAGTAAGTATGGACTGCGGCTATGAAGTCGGCGTACCCGGGTTCATTTTTTAATGCGGTAGACGAATTGGCATTACTTCGGATGGAAACCTGCTGTGAGTGCATCGTCGGTAAAAGGACAACACTTATCGATCGGGTACATATCTTCCAGACTGTGGCCTCTCCCTAGGACTCTCTTGTCGCTTCATTTTGACCCCAGCCGTCTTTCACACAAGAAAGATGTTGCCTGGGCTCATTGCTCATGTAAAGACTTGACTTCAAAACGCAGAGAGAGATTAAGTCGTACTTTACTTTCTTATTTATCTCAATCAAGCCAGGATTAACCCTAAAATTATTATTGCTATTGGCTTCAATAATTTGGCCTTTGTTTTGAGCTTTTTAAATTATTGCACATGAAGTTGAACAAAACTTTTTTTATTTTTAGTTTAAATCGTATTTAAAGAAGAGACAACAAAAATTATTATAATCTTTCAAGTAAGGGATTTTACATTATTACCAAGTCTAAAGAATTTTTCTAATTTTGACTTTTTGCTCTTATTGTGTGTGTGTGAATTTTTTTTTTATTACATTTCTTCGAAAATTTTAAAATTTTTTATTCAGCCGATAGTCTTAATTGTTAGCGCTTATCTAACTTTAGAGCAAGAATTTCTTTCAGATAAACAAATTATAATAGCAATAATAAAAATAATCTTATATATAATTTAAGTTAGATTTTAAAATAAAATAAAAGCGAGATGTTTAAAATTTCTTGTAAATAATTTAAAAATCTCTTTTTTTATTCCATTGCGAAATATCTAAAGGCTATTACATCTCCATGTCGGTTGCCGCTCGTCGAAAAGTTTCTTTTTTTCTTTTGTTGTAATTT